AAAATGGGTTAAAATGAGTTTAAAATGGGGTAGAATTAATTAAAAATGACAAAAATTGGGATAAAATGGGGTAAAATGGGGTAAAATGAGTTAAAAATTACAAAAAATGGGTGGAAAATGGGTTAAAATTAATTTAAAATGGGGTAAAATGAGTCAAAAATGACAAAAAATGGGGGGAAATTGAAGGAAAATGGGGTAAAATGAGTTTAAAATGGAGGAAAAATGAGTTTAAATGAGTTTAAAATTACAAAAAAATCAAAGGTGACACCAGGGACCCCAAGGGTGGCACTGGGACCCTGAGGGTGACAGAAAGACCCCAAGGGTGACACAGGGACCCCAAGGGTGGCACAGGGACCCCGAGGGTGACACAGGGACCCCAAGAGTGACAGAAGGACCCCAAGGGTGGCACAGGGACCCTGAGGGTGACAGAAAGACCCCAAGGGTGACACAGGGACCCCAAGGGTGGCACAGGGACCCTAAGGGTGGCACAGGGACCCTGGGGGTGACAGAAAGACCCCGAGGGTGACACAGGGACATCCAGGGTGGCACTGGGACCCCAAAGGTGACACAGGGACCCCAAAGATGGCACAGGGACCCCAAGGGTGGCACAGGGACCCCAAAGGTGACACAGGGACCCTGAGGGTGACAGAAGGACCCTGAGGGTGACAGAAAGACCCCGAGGGTGACACAGGGACCCCAAGGGTGGCACAGGGACCCCAAGAGTGACAGAAAGACCCCAAGGGTGGCACTGGGACCCCAAAGGTGGCACAGGGACCCCAAGGGTGACAGAAGGACCCAAAGGGTGTCACAGGGACATCCAGGGGTGGCACAGGGACCCCAAAGGTGGCACCGGGACCCCAAGGGTGGCACAGGGACCCCGAGGGTGGCACCGGGGACAGTCACAGATGTCACCAAGCGGTTTTATTGCCCACGTCCTGTGCCAACCTCCTGACCTCGGGGTTTGGGTACTCGGGGCTCTCGATGACCCCGGGGCCGAATTTGAACTCCAGGAAGGCCCGGGGGTCGTTGGGGGCTTTGGCCACGGCGCCGGCGAAGGCCACGGAGCCCAGGGGCACCAGGAAACTCTCGGGGAACTCCACGTCCTGCCGGTGGCCCAGCCACGTGTCCTTGGTCATGAGCCCGCCGCGCCGGGAGCGGAACGGCCACAGATCCACGTGCAGCCGGTTGGAACGGCTGAAATGGACGCGGAAAAATTCCCCTTCGCTCGCTTTCTCCCAAAAAAACCCTTCCGGGTCTTCCACCGGCCGCCCGGTGGCCACCACGGCCGCCAGCCAGCGGCACTTGGGGATGTCCTGCTCGTACAGCCCCACGTCCACGTCGTAGTCCCAGGGGATGATGTCGCCGAGGCGGGCGGCGCCCAGCAGGGACCCCCCCTCCAGCCAGTGCCGCACCCCGGCCGCCTCCAGCTGGGCCAGCACGTGCCGGGCCGTGGCTCGTAGGGCCCGCAGGCAGCACGGGGGGGTCCAGCGCCCCTCCAGCAGGTACTGGGGGGTCTGGGCGTGCACGGTGCCGAAACAGCGCGGGGTGTCCTTGGAGCAGCCGTGCCAGCGCTGGCGCCCGTCGGGCAGCACCTCCAGTTTGATGCCCAACTGCTCCAGCAGCGCCCGGTGCTGCCCGTCCCGGGAATTCTGAGCTTTCCACTGCTCGTGGGGAGAGCGAGGCGGCCCCGGCGACAAAGGGAAGGAGTCCGGCAGCAGGAGGAGGCGCCAGCCCCGCAGGGCGGCCTGCAGGGCCAGCGAGGCGAGCACGGGGCGACTCAGAGGGAAGGGAAGAGAGAAAAGATCGCGAGTCCGCAGCAGCAGCACGGCCGGGGCTCCGTCCAGAGCTCCGCACCTCTGGCCACCCCACTGCTCATTCCGGTGGCCACCCCGCTGCTCACTCTGGTGGCCACCCCGCTGCTCACTCTGGTGGCCACCCCACTGCTCACTCTGGTGGCCACCCCGCTGGTCACTCCCCTGGTCACTCTGGTGGTCACTCCCCTGCTCGGCGTGGCCGTAGCGAACCGTCCACGCTTTGATGTCAACCTCCAAACTCCAACAGCTCGGGCGCCGCCTCCCCACGGTGGCCGCCACCATTTTGGTGCCACCGGGCCTGGTGGCCTCCAGCGCGTCCCTCATTCGCCTCAGTAGCCCCGGAACGGCTCGGGCACCGTCGGGCACCAAAGCCACGTGGCGAGTGCGCACGGCCAGCTCCGGCCGGGGAGGCGGCCGGTGAGGCTGAGGCCGAAGGGACAGCACGGTGACACCGGCGGGCAGGGCCACCGGAGGGTACGGCGACACCTCGGTGGCCACCAGGACGGAGACGCCGGGCAAGGAGGAGAAAGAACGAGCGGTGGCGGCCACGTCGTGGGCGGGGCCGTCGAAGTCACGGAGGATGACGGTGACACCGGGGACGCCGCCGGGGACGCCCCGAGCCGGGTGGTGGCACTGGGTGGTGGCACCGGGGGGGACCAGGCGGGAGCAGAGCAGCAGCAGAAGGTTGAGAGCGATGGCGGCGGCCAGGGCGGCCTGGCAGGGCGTGATTCGCATGGCCTCGGCTCATTAGGTCGTTAATTAATCCATTAATTGGTTGGTTGGGGGGGGTGGGGGGTGGTAATTAAGGAGTTTGGAGGTTGCGATGTCCCCGCGTGGCCACGCGGTGGCGCTGTGGAGGTGGAAATGTTAATAGGGGGGTTTGTTAATGAGAAATTTGTTAATGAAGGATTTGTTAATTAAGGGTTAATGAGGTCCTGATAATTAACCCCCGCCCCGCAGGCCGATAGACCCCAAAAATTCCCGGTAGACACAAAAAAACACCCCCACAAAATCCCATACAGACCCCCAAAATCTCCTGAAAACATCCCAAAAATCCCCTATAGGCCCCTAAAAATCCCCTATAGACCCCTAAAAATCCCCTTATAGACGCCAAAAATCCCCTATAG